TTCACTCTGCTTACCCGGTGTTTCCCTACCACTCGCTGCAGAAGGCATTGCTGTAAAGTTGTCTAGACGGTCAAGAACCTCACAAGACCATAGGCATGGACCTAGATTTTAGGCCTACTTGGAGAATAAGGACACCCCACAGTTGTCCTTATTGGACACTGAAATGGGAATACATAAGCATATTCCCATTTCAGCTTAAGTTACTAATAAAAAGTATAGCCTTTTTTTTTAGAGAAATGCATTGTGTTTTGTGTTGCCTCATCTCCAAAATCCATTTAACTTGCTTATTTCATATTTTTAATTCAGACCAAACAATAGCTATTAAAGATTAGAAAATATAAGGCAAATACATCCGGATCTTATTGCAAGTTGGTTTTTCAACCTGCATACTTGAAATGAGCATCATTAGCTGAGTTTAAATACAGCAGACATATCAGAGAATTTGAACAACCAGCCACACAGGAAAAGGTGTTTAAACAAGCTTCCCAAATCAGTAGTTAGAGTGACATTTGATGTGGAATTTGATGAGCAACACAGATCAAGTGAAAAATGTTAGTTAAATATGGTGGCAACTAGTGATAAAATAATGATAAACTATCCATTGCTTAAATATCTATGTGTAGGGGGGAAAGGTGACAAGAAAGGCAAAGCCTTTTGTGATGAAAGTTCCAGCTGGTGAGACTGCCAGGTGGTTCTGAGCTTCTGCTGAACCCTTAGTGGAAGGCTGGCCCTCTCAGAGGTAATCAGCTTGGTTACTTTAGGAAAGTGGTTTGCAGGAGCATTTATAATACAACAAACAGCAATTAGCATAGCCCCACCCCTTATAACTAACTCAAAATGCCTGGGGTATCAATATTCTATCTTCGAGCTCCCCAGATGATTCTATCTAATGTGCAATCAGAATTGAAAGTCACAGTTCTAAGAGATCAGATGACTTCATATTTTGAGGGTGGATAAGGAAATCTGGTTTCATTTCAGGATGGTAGACTAAGTATATCCTGTAGCTTCTTCATTCCTGCAACAAGGGCCTCAACTGATGATCCTAAATAAATGAAACTTTCAATAAACCAGAAACCTCTAAATCCTAAGATACAAGAAGATGTAGACTGGCTTGGTGCAAAAACAAAAAGGCCACTCTAAAGTATGCATAGAAGACTATCGCAACAAAGGTGAAGGGAGCACCAAGCCTGCCTCATCCCTGAAGGTGCTAAACACCAGAAGCAGAGGAGTATCAAGGACCATGAGCATGTAGGTCCTTGGGGCACCACTGCAGGAGGGGCCAGAAATTCCTCTTCCATTGATGCCTTAACATGTACCTTGGGCCAAATAGCAGCATGAGTGTCAGCTTCCAGGTAGGATTTGTGACCAGGGAGCCCAAATTAGACAGGCATGGCCATGTGTCATGAGGCTGGCCATTGCCAGAGGAATAGGGTACCAGAACTGAACACCTCTGAGAAATCTCACCCAGTGACATCTTTTTTCACTGTCACTGAGAACAGGTCAGAGGACAATTCAAACCAGCAATATCCCCAAGCTGATGACACCCACTGACGGAGAATGCAGTCTAATGGAGAATCTCAACCAAATGATAATGGAAAAAATACAATACAAGCATTTAAAAAAAAAAGATTGTAGAGTCAAGATCACCACACATTCGAGGAAGACCAACAATACAAAAGATGACAAACTCAACAATGTGGATGAACAAACACTCAAGGAAGATAAATAATAGAGCAAGCAAAGCAGGAATTAAGACTAGGGTAAGTAAATTTTTCTAATACATGTGTGAGGATACAGCAGTCACCGGCAAATCAACCAGAAGACACAGAGATTAAAATTTGATTCCTACAATAAGAAACTGAATAAGCAGATGAAATTGATTTCTTTTCTGAAGTTTAATGTTATTACCATAAAAACTAATGTATGTCTTATAACCTACTGCCTAGTGATAGTTCCTAAGTTCAATAGTTCACTTTTTTTGAAAGTACCTAATAATTTTCAAAAAAGAGGTTACAGGAAGTATTTTTGAAGAATGAAATGTTTTATGTATTCTTTTAAAAAGACTTGGCCCATTTTGAAAAATAATCATCAGTAAGTGAAAAATAAAATCAAAAGAAAGGAAAATATGTTTTTCCCCAAAATACATTAAAAAATACTTGCTGATATTTGTAGTTTAAGTGTGTAGAGTTAAAATGAGCCAAATTTACAAAAGGCAATTAATAACAGCTTGCAAAAGGATTTGCTTCGTCTGCTGTAGCACCAAGAAGAATGAGGTAAATATACCATTGAAGATGCAGTCAGGTTTCTCCTGTACTCCTGACATTGACCCACTGCCCCGGCCAGCCACACAGTACATAAGCACGCTTCCTCCTAACCCCACTGAGGAATCTAGAGGAAGGACTGAAGAATGACTGCTCAGATTATACACACTGCCAGGATTTCTTTCCCCTTTCAGTAGTATGTCAGTGAATACAAGCAGGTATCAACTTCTTTAATCAGAAATAAAGAACTCCACCTTCAGCAAACTCATTTACTTTCCTGGTCCTTTTTAACCTATCATATAAAAAGCCTTTTTATCGCTACATCTGTTTACTAATTATGGCTGTTTGGTTTGTTAAGGAAATTTTCCCCAGGCATACCTATTTCTACTTCTATTTCCGAATGACAAAGTATGTGTATTTTATGTTCTGTCCCAAGTTTTCTATTATTCATTTTTTAATACTTTAATTTGTTACTCTTCAAGGCATATTGTACATTGGACCAAAAAGAGAACTGGCAAGTTGATCCTAAAGCACACATTTCTTAATCTGAGTAACTTCTGAGAACATAAGACTTCAGTGACATTTTCCATTAAAGAAAATTCATTCAGTTTTGTGCTTAACCAAAAACTTCTAATATTAATTTCTAACAGGTTATATCCCTAGTGCACATGTATTTTCAAAGGAGAACAAGCCATAGCAAAGTAATCTTTTCCTAAATGTCATCTGATATATTTTTATAGCAACCTGAAAATTCGCAGTAAACTGAAGTTATGTTTAACAACACAATAAATACAGCTTATAAGCTCACCTTATAGGTTTCTTAGTTTAAAGGCAACAGTAAATTTGCATTCTGCAATGGAGCTATAAACACAGTTACTTTTATCTAGAATCTTATGGCCATAGCATCTCACAAAACCATGACCCACATGCTAGAACTTTTTTGGGGGAGGGGGGGTAGGGTGGGCATCTGGCTATGCAAAAGTCTTTGATGAGATCCTTTGTCCAAATTAGTATATATTTTTTTATTTTCCAGGAAATATGGAAACCTTATCACACATTCATACTGAACAAAAGTTAGATTACTATCAATGTCTCTTTTAATTTTGCTCTAAAAGAATTTTTAAAAGTCTAGACATCGCTGATGTTTTTGAATTACACACAGAAGACAATTTCAAAAGATAAATCTTAGTATCTGATCCATTTGGCATATCTTTACTACCCAGAATAAAATCCATAGAAATGAAACTAATGTCATTTTCAAAATATTCATATATGGTGGAGTCTTAGGATGAGGAACTTCTAAATGAAAGAAGGTGGAGACTCTCATCTTGCTACTTACAAGCATTTTTCCTCATGGGATTGCTGCTGTATTTGTGCAAGTTTTGCTTGCAGGCAGGCATGTATATAGGGCCAGAGCTCGTTGCTGTCTGTTCCAGAGAATGTTTCCAACACCCCCTTTTTTCGGTAATGTTCCAGGACAGGTATTGTTTGGTTGTCGTAAGCCTTTAGTTTCTTGATAAGTGTCTCTAGTCTATCATCCTCACGCTTAATGAGAAGTTCTCCAGTCAGATCATCCTTACCGGCCACTTTGGGGGGGTTGAATTCAAGGTCGTAGACGCGACCACTGGCTGGATGAACCCAGCGAGCATCAAGGTGTTGCATGATGACCTCAAAGGGCACATTCAGGTTAATCACCAGGTGTATCTGGTGAACTTTATCAAGGGCTTCAGCTTGTGGGAGAGTCCTGGGGAAACCACATAACAGCCAGCTATACTGAGTGAGATTTTTCAACTCCTGAAGTGTCAGACGAGTCATGAGGTCATCCGGGATGAGCTTCCCCTGGCCCATGAGATCCTTGGCCAGCACACCAATTTCTGTGTCCCTCAGCACGTTGTCTCGGAGCAGGTCCCCGGTGGAGAGCTTCTTTAGCTGGAAGTGTTTGATGATGCGCAATGACAGGGTGTGCTTGCCGGAGCCTGGAAAACCCAGGATCACTGCGCGGAGGAGCTGCCTGGAAGGCCCCATGGCTGCCCAGCCAATCCCTGGCCGCGACGACAGTTGGGCCCCCCTCTTGGCCTGTGTGCCCCAGACCAACGCCTTGAGGACACGCGCCAAGAATGTACAACCTGCATTGGAAATGGGTTTCTTAAATAGATGCTACCAAAGAGCCAATTCATGAATTCAAAGGCTGAGCCAAGGAATTCTCCCACAATACAATACAAAGAGCTGAAGAGATGGTATGTAGAAAAGGAAAATCAAGAAACATATAGTGCAGATTCAAAAGTTCTGCCACTCACAAGTAGAAAATGGAGAGGATGGAGGGATACTGTATTTCAAGAAATAATTAAATAGACAAGAATTTCCCAGAATTAAGGAATGACATGAGTTGCAAGATTAGACAGTGAAACAGTACAGAGCATCTAGAAACAAATGTTGACAGAGTTGTGGGTAAATAGGTTTCTCACACTCCACTGGTAGGGTGTTCCCACTGCTATTTTGGGAAGCAACTTGGCAGTGGCTCTAGGTTTTTAAAAAAATTACTTCTCAGTATCTTCCTTACACAAACACTCACACAAACAACAAGAAAGCACATATAGGATGTCCCCTTCACCCTTATTTATAACTGTGAAAATTTGTTAACAACCTGAATGTCCACTAATAAAAGAACGCCTAAACAAATCTTAACTGTACTGTGGAATATTATGCAGCAACCGAAGAGAGAGAGGCAGATTTCTATGTGCTAAACATGAAAAGATTTCTAAGACATCGTATCTGCAAACAGTTGCAGAATGGTAAAATTTATGTTCCATTTGTGTTAAAGTGTCACGGAACTTATGTTTAAATATACCTAGTAAGTGAACTGAGAAGCCAAGTTTCAAGCAGTGGAAAGACATGACTTGATTTTTGTTTTTCAAGGATTACTTGTCTGCAAGAATGGAAGCAGGGGGAGCTGTTAGGAGGCTATTTCAACAGACCAGCAGAAAGGTAAGGAAGGACAAATATTTTAATTTAATTTCTCCAATATGAGTGAGATGGAGCATCTCGCCATTTGTTTTGGGACAATTTGCATTTTATTTCCATGTGAAATTCTTGAATTGACAATTATGCACTTCAGTAGCTTCCTTGGGAAAATGTTTTAGGTTTTGTTTACTCCTTGAGCTGTGAAACAGGTCCTTCGCTTTGTCTTCAGGAGTCCAACTGCACTGGCTTAATACAGCATCAGGCCACGCATCCCACAATGCTCATGCTAATCAGAGGCTGCTGAGCCACCCGGCCTGCATCCACTTCATTCTCTTCCATGCATGAGCCAATTCATTTCTTAAAAAGATCCATAAACATAATCTGATGGGTTGTTCTCTTTCTATAAACGAGAGAGAAAGCTATTTCCAGAATAAGAATTTGGGCAGTAGAAGCCTAATTTCTGTATTTGTATTTTCTGGGAGCAGAGTAACACTGCTGCTCTAATTTCTCAGATTTCTTTTTTGTTGTTTCTGCTATTTTGGGCCTTTAAATAGTGATCTAATCTCTCTTATTGTTTCTGTACCCAAAAGAGTTACACTGAATACCTAAGAAGTCTCAAAAGGTAGATGCATATTCAGTAGAAATTTGGCTCACATCCTACAGCAAAGGAAAAAAATGATGTTATAACTTGAAACAGTATTTTTCATAATACTAATTGATTTGCATAATAAAGCAGCACACTATTAATGTCTTTTAGGATAATTAATTGCATGCACAAAAAGAAATCCCACCAAGGCCCTTCTATCCTGGATAGATTTAGACTTCTATTATATCTAACCTTTACTTCAGATACCTAATTTTGTACCACACTCTGATCCCAGAACATCCCAGAGAGTGTCTGCAGAGAGTGCGTAGCATTCCCTTGGCTCTGGGTGTGGGTGGGAGAGTATGGGCTTCTGAGTGGCTTAGCGCAAGCACACTCCATGCGGGCCTCCTGGTTGGTGTCGGGCTCCTATGCACAAAGTCATTTCTGGCTCCTGAGACCACTTCGCCTCTTCCTCCTTTTTCTAGACTGATGACCCATAACCTGTTTGAGGCGAATGATTATGAAGCTTGTTCTTAATAGCAGCTGATAAGGGATTCTTTGACAAAAAACATAACCAGTAGCCAAGTAATATCATCGAATGTATTTGACCTCATTTAGTAGTAGTAGTAGTAGTAATCATGCCAACCCAAAAGCTCATTGAAATTTTCTAGGTATTTCTTTACAATAATGGAAGCCAAATGGCAGAGCAACAAAAGAAAAACAGCAGGGGCTCCTCAGATTAGTCCTAGTGTTACATTACTAATCATTTCAAGGTGAAACTTTTCAAGTTGATTTATTGCCCACTCCCTAAGGGAGAGTGAGCACGTTAGGGCATCCCAGGAGACAGAGCTAAGAGCCACAAGGAGGATGGCAGGTGAGATATTCATTCACGGATTCAGCCAACCTTCAGTGGGCGTTTATCTGTGCAGCTAGCTGTTCTAAATGCAGGGGACAAAGCCCATGAGGAAGACTGAAGCCTGGGTGTCTGTTCTCGTGACAGTGACATTCTAGTGGGATTATGGGCCAGTGTTGCCCGAGGGATCCTCTGGGGAATGTGAGATGATTTTAGGTCTCTGCCAAAGAGCGTTCCACTCCCCTACCTCCAGGTTTGATAAGTGCGTTTGACTCTGTGTTGTTACATAGTTAACTACAGAAATTTCAAAGATACATAAATTAAAGAATGGTGTAGTCCCACATAGTCATCTCTAGTTTCAACCATGGTCAACGTTATGCCAATATTATTCTACCTGATTTTTTTTTCTGGAGTATTTTTCAATCACATTTTATCTTATTTTTTCTGGAGTATTTTAAATAATAATACGTTCTAATTTTAATGATGATTGTGGATGTTTTCATGTATATCAGAAAAATATAATGAGCACATCAACCTCATACTTCAGGATATTCTTGCTTAGGACAAAACTTAACTGTAAATTTAAGTTTTCAGACAGCTACACAGATAGGGCACAGTTCAACAAAGGAGTAATAGATGACTAAAGTTTATGAACTATTGTTAGGAAACAAGAGAGTAAGAGGAGGTAGTAGACATTCCCCTTTACCTTCCCCCCCTCAGTGAGTCAGGATGGTTACAAGAAATTCCTTCCTCTATAGACAATATTTAGCATCATGCCTGGCACTTAGTAAGCACCGACAACAGAGAAGGTAATATTGTTTGGGGGAGACACCTTTGAATCCAGAGAACTGATACTGGCTAATGTTCATTAAGTACCTACCGTGTGCAAACACCAGTAGGAGATTTATATATATTATCTCATTTCCTCTTCACAGCCACACTATGAGTAGACGTTATAATCCCCATTCTTGGAATTAATAAATTGAGGTTCAGAGAAATTAAGTAACTTAAAGTCACAAATCTATGTAGTCACAGGGCTCGGACCTGAATTCAAGCCAGTCTTCCTCTAAGTCCATGTTGTTTTCCACTCAGCTCCCCAGACAGCCAGGGCCTATTTCCCAACCACCAGGAGGCAGCTGGAGAAAGAAGTAGGCAAGTGGAGTTTAGAGGCCTGGTGTAAACCTGATTTTTCCATTTGCTAAGGTCATGACCTTGACCATTTCACTCCACTTTTTCTGAGCCTCTGTATCATATGCATAAAATAAGGACAGTAATACTAGTTGCTCAGTTTGCAAGCACAAAGAGAAATAATGTATACGGAAATCTGACACTGTAGGCACTAAAGGTGGGCACTCTGTCTGAAGGCCCTAACAGAGCCTGTGATCTTACACAATCCCCTTCTATGCAAAGGTGAGGGAGCTGGTCCCTAAAGTCCTGCTGGGGTTAATGTTCCAGAATTGATTAGACCAAACCTGTTACTAATACCAACTCTGAAGGTAATGGAAATAACTAGATGAACCTCCGTTCAGGGTGATTTTATTTATAATTATTTATAATTGTCTTAGTCTGGACTCCTTAGAAAGCAGAGCCTGATGGCACTGTGCTGCTGCTGTTGAGTAGGGAGTGCAATCCTGAGGAGCAGAAGCCAGAGACACAGGGGTGCGGCATGCAGGAGGGGGAGAAGTCCGAGCAGGTGTGACTGAGCTGCTCACCACTCAGAGCTACTGGCTGCTCTGTCTCACAGAACCATGCTTTGAAAGCTGCATCTTAGAACAGACTGTCTAGGTGAAAAAAAAAGAACAGGTTTGTCTCCCATGTGCAACATTTTGACTATGAGATGTTAATTCCTCTGTGATTCTTGGTTGTGTGGTTCTAGGCTCCAAAGCAAGGTTCCCCGTGTCTCACTGCTTGGGGTCCACAGGGAAGCCCAGGAAAGAGGTGAGAGGTGTGTGGTGCGGGCATGAGACTGGGCTCTGGGAGACGCACCTGCAGGAAGTAGCTGGAGCTAGTGGTCAGAGCGGCATTTGGAACGAGAAACAGGTGAGGATGAGCAGACCTGAAGTTGTGTAGGTGTATGATACAATACTTATACCCAATCAAATTCCAGTCAGAATCGAAAGGGGCTAACTTCATAAAATAAGGATGTTAATGAAAAGAGAAATAATTCATAGAAGAGAAAAAAAGATCCAAGTGTCTTATTCTGAAGAAAGTGGGTAACAATAGTACTAACAAATAGGGTTGTTGCAGTGATGGAATGAATTCAAGAAGTTAATATTTATGAAGCACTTAAAATATATGTGGCATATAAAAACCACTATGTCGATGTTTGTTTTAAAAAATAAAATATTAGCTACATGAACTTAGATGGCTGCTGCAACTGAGCATTAAATTTACCTCTAAGCTTGCTAGCAGTGAGGAGGAAAAAAAAGAAATATGATCAAAATGAGCCTGCTAATTCTGAAGGGGAGCCAAGAATTTACCTGGCATAAAAACTGAAAGGGAATTGATCCCAAGGGACATTAAAAAACAGAATAAATAATGATTTCAAAATGGTTTAAGAATGGCTAATTCTTTTGCTGGTACTTTACCAGATATAGCTACTTCTTCTGGAAGCTAAAATAATGAAGTTCAGATTTATAGCTTTCTAAGGTGTTACTATGAGACAGCAGTTCCCAAGCAGGGGCAGTGTTGCCTCCCAGGGGACATTGGGCAACGTCTGGTGGTATTTTTGGTTGTCACTATGTGGGGTGGGAGGTGGCGGGGGAGGGGTAAAACTACTGGTACCTACTAGATAGAGGCCAGGGATGCTATTAATATTGCATGGGACATACCTATACTAAAAACATTATTTTTTCTTTATCTAAAATTCCAATTTAACGGGGAACCCTGTCATTTAATTTGCTCACTCTAGCAACATGGCTACTAAACTTGCTACAGTGTGTGGGGCAGCCCTCCCCAACAAAGCATTGTCCAGCGCAACATGTGAATGGTAGGTAAGTAGACAGACCCTGCCCTAAGTGAAGTGTAGGTCTTTGCATAGTTTTCTGGAGGAATGGAGACATAGTATGGATGTTAAAATTTCTTTTCCTTGGTCCAAGTTCTAAGATTAGTTACCTGACAAATTAGTTGGTCCAAACCTCTGGCCTCAGCCTAGTTTATTTATGTCTGTGAAGTTGATGGAAGCTTGAGGCCTGCCTCCAACGAACAAGTGACCAAGTGGACATTGTATAGGGAGCTTCTTGAACATCCCCATTGCTCTTTCAATATCTTCTGTCCATACCAATAGTCTGACAGCTGCTACCTATTGCCTCATCTAATTACTTGGAGAGATTTATTGTGTAAACAGTCAGTGGATCCAGAAATATTTATCTAGACTAAAGTGATTTGAATAAAGTGATTTGGACAATAAAAAATAAGGCAGAAAATAGAGCCTACAATACTGGAGGAGCTTGCATTTTAGTGGCAGAAGTAATTTAGAGGAAGGATACTCTCTATTTTTATATGGGATTAGGTAAAAGTTAAGGGGTGACCAAAGGACAAGCTGGGACAGAGGGCTGGGTGAAGCCCACTTTCCGGAGGAGGGGC